TTTTTTTGTTTTTTTTGTGGTGGTGCAGTTATTTAGTCTCTCCGTTTCATTTTATTTGGATAATTGAGATTATTTGGTCTATCGAAAGGTTTGATGAGATGACTTCTTTCTTTTCTTATGTGTATTACGTAGTAATTTTCAAGTTACATGAATGTTTTGTGATTTTTTTAATTTAGGAACATATTTTTCTTTACATTGTATGGGATAAATAAAGATAAATCTTCTGCTTACACATAGGATTAATATTAAACGGGTTATTGTATAAAACTTATTAAAAAATTTAATGTACGATTAACTTGTTTGTATTGCTGGAATATCGCATAGGAATCTTTCTATAAATTTTATTTTATTTCTATCTTTGATATTGTTCCACTTACAATCTATATTTAACTCATACTTTCTTATATGCAGACTAATTAACATCGATTTGTTTTTCTTTTCCATTCTTTCCGATGCATTATCAAGCACAAAGTTTGGTTGAAAATTAAGAAATCAAAGCATCCCATTTTGTTTTTGTCTCAATTATCTATTTTGGTCTTCGTGCAAAGTAGATTAATTATAATATAGCTTAGAACTTAGAAGCCAACAATGAAGTGTAAAAATACTTTACGAAAGGTAGATACAAATGAAATTGGGTCGATGGGAGGTATGACAGTTATGCTATTGAGAGTTGTGCACAAGGAGAAAGTACAGAGGGCAGTATGGACAATGCTTCAGGCATGGCTATGACGTGTACGAGTTCTATGCGCGGGATTCATGTGATGGGGAGTGATAGAATGGTCAGAGCCATGGCGTTGGGGGACAAACTTGTGCTCATAGGAGCTGTTACATCGTGGAGTGCAAGTGTGGGGTGAAGCAATGGCCATTGTGTTACCATTTCAGGTGAGTAATTTGGATCCGAATTTTAACTTCTTTTTTTTTTTTTCCTTGTTTGTTCTGTGTTCAATTAGTATCTGTGTGAATGTTTGTTGTATGAAGTTGATGTGATATGTGAGTTTGTTGGTTGAGCTTGAAGATGATTTCTGAAATTCTTTTCTTTTACTTATTGATCTATGTGTGTATTATTCGTTTGGTCGATCGGATATTTGCGTGAAACTAATTATATATATTTTTGTTACTTTTTAATGATGTGCAAAATCTTGTGAATATTAAATTAAACATGATCTATTGAATGTTCTCTAAATCTAAAGAACCAAAAACTTTGGATATTACTTGCTCACAATTGTGTTGGGATTTTAAATCTAAAGATCCAAAAACTTTGCATATGAGTTGCTCACATTTGTCTTGGGATTTTAGCCACGTTTTGGTAGGCCACCATCAAATCTTGTTCTGAATGCACATATTAAGTATGTGTGGTAGTCTTTCACTCCCTATTTAGAACTTACTGAAAAAAGAAGTTTAAAAAAAATGTGCAATTTGATAAATTTTGTAGAAATGGAGATCGATATGGTGGCAAGTATTTTGGGGATAAAATTCATGGTTTTCGTGTCTACTATTTTACTAATGGCCATTTTTTTAGGGTTCATGGCATGAAGAATGCATGAAAGGTTCTGGCATGTAGACTTTCTTAAATGGTGAGACGAGATGTGTTGAATGGGATGGCAGTCTTAAGACCCGTCTATGCCCACTGACTGATGTCGTTCTCTGAATCCTCTAATTTTTTGAATTTACTTGTTAAATTGCCATGTGGTTTGCCTAATTAGGTAAACAATTGAATTATCTTTTGAAATTACGTATGGTTTGCGTTCTGAATTCTGATGTGCAAGTATGATCTTTTATATTCAATGCATACTTATGAACTTCCATTACACACCATATATGTCAGTAGCAGTCCATGATTAGGTGATTAGATTTTCACTTCTATTTACATTCCGTTTGTTTCAGGTCTTACCATCATTGTATTTTAAAATCATAGTTTGATCTGTAGGAAGAAAGAGAGGACTCGCAGGTTTTGTACATGAAAAAGTCGAACGGTATAGTTGGCCAAAGAGTGAGATAGGTGTGATTGTGGACGGTGCATGAAACGAGGATGGAAGAGAGAAAGTTGTACCTACGAATTCACAATGAGAATGTATAATTGGCCAAAGAGTGTGATAGTTCTGATTGTGTACAGACAGCCAATTAGACGAGGATGGGAGTGAGAAAGTTATACCTATGAATTCACAATGAGGAAATAATTTCTCAAACTTGGTTGATAGTTGGTTGGCTTTTATTCATTCATAAATAATAATATGGGTACATCTTATTTTCAATGGAATAGGTCTCTTAACTTTCAAATTTTTGTGCTTGAATTCTATGACATTACTGCAGCGTTGTTTTGTATTGACTATCAAGAGAATCCAAATTGAGTGAGAACATGTGATAACTTCTTATTTTTCTTATCTATACCAATCGTTTTGTATTGACTATCAAGAGAATCCAAATTGAGTGAGAACATGTGATAACTTCTTATTTTTCTTATCTATACCAATCTTTCTATCCGCATTATTTTATTTAAAGTAGAATGAGTTACATCAAAACGTTCTCTTTTTTGGGGCACCACCAATGTGTTTTTGGATGTTTAATATCGAAGGAAACAACCCAAGAGCGCTTGGATGAGATGGCTTGGGTCTCTTCCAGCTTAACCAGTGGTCTCGTGTTCGAGCTTTGGGAATGCAGCAGTGTTAAAACTCTTGAGGGAGAGCTTTGCCGCCCTTGTGGTCCTACCTGGCTCGATTCCGGATTAGTCGGTTCCCCTGTGGATCCGGAAACTGGAAGGTCCTTGTACCAAAAAAAAAAATATCGAAGGAAACAACAATCGTAATGCAACTTAGATTTTTTGATGCTATCTATTAAGTTGATGTCATTAAAAAAAAAAAAAAAATCAAAATATGGCCGATATCCTAAACGATAATGGCAACATCGAATAGTCTACTTACAAGTTCACATGCATCCCCTATAAAATTATTACTTTCCAAGCATAAAAAGTACTTAAGTTGTGAGAAAATTTATTATGCTCCTTCTAAATCATATTTCATTTGTCAATATAGTCGATTTATATTATCACTTCACATTCTAGAATCTTTTATAATACAATAGATTGACAATTTTGGAAACTTCTCCTCACGTGCACTAATATTTTCCACGAGGTATGCATTTATGATTTTCTTCTATTCTTCCATTTATATACAAACAATTACAATTTACAGTGTTCACGCAATATTTAATTAAAACAATTTTAAATTTGAAATTGGGTCCGGTTATGCTGTGCACAGCCGATAACAAACTAGTATAAATACTACTATATTTAGTGTTATGTAGTTACACTTACACGTGCATACGAGTATTATTACGTAGATGGTTTGGTATTACTTAGAGGGTTTGGTATTATAGGGCCATTGATTGAGATGTCAATTAATTCATTAAATTATATGTCATGGATAGGGTTTGGTATTATAGGGCCATTGAAATGTCAATTAATTCAATATGTCACCGGGCTTTGAAACTTATGTTAGAATGCACTGGTGAGTCGTCCCACATTAATTTGATAAGATAAAAAGTATTTTTCAATAAATATTTTAGTTGCTCGGAAAAATATTTAATTACGTTCTTGAAAACAAGTTTTTTTACTGTAATTTTCAAAATTGTGCACCTAGATTTTTATTTGACTGGTTGCTTAGAAAGAGAAAGAGACAATAAATTCAATTTACAAGAAAATATTTATGAGTATTATTATTAAATAATACACGAGTGTGTGTGTTAAATTAAGTTTTAAAATTAATGATAAAAATTATTTTAAATTTTATTTATTTTTTTACAAAAAATATATTTTATTATATATTTTAGAATGACACTTGTTACTTGTGCGACTTACATGTATTACATTATAGTAATTTTTATAACTTATATCATATAACTACTTGATATATAATATATAAAATAATAAATAATTTTATTTTTCTAATTAATATTATTTTTTTATTATTGTTATAAAGATAAATATAATTTATTGTTTTTATACATACAATATGGATGTTAAATCGAAACTCATCAAAAAATGATTAATCTGATATATTATATATTAATTTTTAAAATACATTTTCAATTCAATAGTTATAATAAGAAATGATACTAAAATATAATTAATACATGTAATATGACCATAAATAATCAACATAATTATCGATATCCCGACCTAATTATTTTTATTTTTGGATTAGAAGTAAATTAAAATCTACTCAAACCTAACAACGAATCATGTAATTTTGCCACATAAGATTCTGAAATATGCGAGCTTGCCACTTAGACTCAAAGTGTTTTGAATTATTATATAGGAGGAGATAATATATATTTTTTGTGTTAATTATGTAGTATGTTGGATCAATCCACAATTAGGCTAAAGTAAACAGACCGTTACGGAATCAGTCCGTCGGAGTTTGTAACCGTTAAATCATCTATTCCTGACAGTTACATTGTGATCTAACAGTTACAAACATCGGATGATTTCGTAACGGGACCCGTAGCATAATAGGTTCAATAATTTTCTCTCTCTATATATATACACAGGCATAGAGACACAATAAGTGCAGCACGAGCTGAGATTCCCAATTGACAGTCTGTTTGTCGTCATCTCTTTCAATGGACCCGTCGTTTCTTCTCCCTCCCTAGTGCTCCACAGTACACTCCAACCTTCTCTCTCTCTCTCTCTCTCTCTCTCTCTCTCTCTCATCTATTTCTCTCTCAGAAAATTAAGTGAATTCATCACTGTCATTCTCCCATGGCGTCGCTGTTCGAGTCTGCTTGGACGGTAACTACTTCGTTTACATGTTCTTTTTTTTTTTTTTTTTTGGTCAGCTAGATTTTGATCTTCGTGTTTCAAATCTATTTCAATTGCATTGACGGCAGCCATTGTTGGTCCATTCGTACTGGTTTGAATTTTCTTCACTCGTGAGTGTTTGTTTGTTGGTTAATTCGTGTTCGGTTTCTGATTCTGCCATCTAATTCTCTCTTTCCTGTTACTGTTAGTAAGAGTGTCGTTCGCATAAATAATGCATGTCCCTGTAATTTACCTGGAATGTGCCTGTGATGTCCGAAGAAAAGACGCTAATCTTTTATATGAATAGATTGCTCCTAGAGGCTAGAGTGTGCTTATGTTCTTTTTTTTTTTTT